TCTTTTTATTTTTTATTTTTCTTTTCTGCGAGATAGTAAAATGCAACATATCTTATATACACATACATATACAAAGATGTCATCTGTACAAGAGGTATAGTTCATTTACAACGAAACGTGCACAAAGACGAGACGCTTCGCACAGGGGTTTCTTTCATTACAGTTTTTTTTTTCCGAGAAAGTCAGCATATCTCATCTAGGTTTGCGATCTCTTCCTTCTCAGTTTACCAGAAAGACAAACACGCGCGTTTGGGTGGGTTTAGTATTTTTTTTTTTTTTTTTTTTTTTTTCAAAAAGTAGGCTACTTCAGCAACTCTGCCAATTTTTTTTTCTTTCCTTTTCTCCCATTCGCTCCGTTTTAAAATCTTTTTAGAAAGGCTCAACCGAGCTTTGAGAATTCTCTTTAAACAAAAACCAAAAAAATCTCGTCGTAATAAACTAAAGTACACTTTAATAGTTGACTTACTTATATCTTTTTTTTCATTTTTAATCGAGATTACTTTTGAAAATGAAGTAACACCTTCTAATCCATTTCGTTTCTCAGATAACAATACTATTCTTGTGTAATCATTCTAATGTTACAAGGAATATCGTAAAACAATCTTTATGGGGTCTAAACGTGTGAATGTATACGTATTTATTCAAAGTATACTCTATTATTCCTCAGTAGTTTACGAATAAAGTAGTTTAGTTATTATTACTATATATCTAGTTATTTATGTGTATCTCGTAAAGTAAGAAGACTAGTAAGTATGTACATATCAGAAATTTTTAGTTATTATTACTATTTATCTAGTTATTTATACGTATCGTAAAGTAAAAAGTTTAGTAATTATATGTAAATATAAGAAATTTCTAGTTATTATTACTAGTTATCCAGTTATTTATATATATCGTAAAGTAAGAAGACTAGTAAGTATGTACATATTAACAATTTTTAGTTATTATTACTATTTATCTAGTTATTTATATGTATCGTAAAGTAAGTTTAGTAATTATATGTACATATAAGAAATTTCTAGTTATTATTACTAGTTATCCAGTTATTTATACGTATCGTAAAATAAAACTAGTAAATATGTACATATCAGAAATTTTTAGTTATTATTACTATTTATCTAGTTATTTATATATATCGTAAAGTAAAAANACTAGTAAATATGTACATATCAGAAATTTTTAGTTATTATTACTATTTATCTAGTTATTTATATGTATCGTAAAATGAGAAGATTAATAAATATATATGTACATATCAGAAATTGTTGATAGACAAGAAATAAGAAAAGAAAAAAAAAGAAATAAGAGGAAGAGCAATGAAATCGAAGAGATAAAATCACTTAGTCGTTTAAAAGGGAGAAAAGGGATAAGAAAAGGGATTTGATCATGGAAATGAAGAATGATTTCTGATATTATATTTTGTTTGTAGTAAAAGTAGGGAGAAAATAAAGTTTGCGATATGGTAAAAGAAGAAACACAACATAGCCGAAAGAATAAGCAATACGTATCGTTGTCGTAAAAAGGGGGAAGGAAAATATAAAAAAGAAATAAAAGGGAGGAAAAAAGAAAAAGAGAAAAAAAATGAAGGTATCTCTTTCGGAAACGAAAAGGGGGGGATGGATGAAACCACCCTCCTTTCGTTCCACCCTTCTATCGCGAACGATTAACCTCGTATATAGAAGAAGTGCTTGGAACTTTGCCAAGACGTCAACATTCTCATTCAGGTCGAGCCTCGGGATATGTACCACGTTCAATAACAACTTGCCTTAGCCCTTTACCCCTTTAAACCACAAAGCCCAGCAAATTTGAATTTTTTTTTTATTTATTTATTCTTTTACGTATGTATTTGGATGAATTAAAAATTCATGCGTTTATTCTATTACAAATTGTACAATAATAGATTGTGCAATTTGTTTGTAAAATTTATTGTAGAAATTTTAAATCTTTAAAAAATGCACGAACTTTTTTCGTTCACCCTAATTAGAATCAATATAGAATTTTTCGTCATTTCTTTCCCCGAATATTTAATATTTCTATTCTATAACATATTTATATATATGTATTATATGTTTTTCTATTATTAGTGTAATACTTTTTCCATAAAGCTTTTTGATAGATTTGAATTTTTCTTAATGAACCGCTTTTATTTAAACCCGCGAAATTTAAATCCATACTTAACGATTATCTTCTTTACCGACTAAGCAAACCCCGCAAAATTTGAATTTTTCTTTTCATCTACGAACTCAGCCACTTTGTTTTTTTTTTCTCGTTTGGATGATTTCTTTTCGTTAATATTCTCAATCGTGTTTATAATCTGGAAAATCGAAGCAGGAATTATATGTATATGTGTACATATATGTACGTATGTAAGTAAATATATATATATGTGCATGTTCAAGAGTATATAACTATACCAGTTTATCAAGAAGACATCTCTGATAACTCGATACGGTTTGCCTGTTCATAGCAATAATCTATGTGCATATGTATTTACTTATATGTGTGGGTGTATGCAGAAGTGCAGCAGCTTTTGCTAGACAGTAATTTTCCGGAATAACGAGGAGAATATTCTAGCTTTCTGTGTGCTGTATTAACGTGAGAATTTATGACTCTACTGTATGATAATAATGCATTAAAGAATATGAAGCTCCCAAACGTGGGAGTATATAATATATTATACATAATATTTTGATATATTAGTTGGTGAAACAGTGTCCAATCAAAATACTTATATAATTAGATACTTAATTATATATATGCCGTGTGTAATATTCATGCAYGTAAACAATTAGTCACTTTATTACCATAATCTTCATCTTAATTCATATTTTAATACGAATAACATA